GACAAGTAAATTCTAAGTTTTGAAGAGTAAATTCTAAGTTTTGAAGAGCAAATTCTAAATTTTGAAGAGTAAATTCAATATTTTGAAGAGTAAATTCTAATTTTTGAAGATTAAATTCTAAGTTTCGAAGAGTAAATTCTAAGTTTTGAAGAGTAAATTCTAAGTTTTGAAGTGTAAATTGGATATTTTGAAGAGTAAGTTCTAAGTTTTGAAGAGTAAGTTCTATATTTTGAAGAGTAAATTCTAAGTTTTAAAGAGTAAATTCTGAATTTTGAAGAGTTAATTCTAAGTTTTGATGAGTAAATTCTATATTTTGAAGAGTAAATTCTAAGTTTTGAAGAGAAAATTCTAAGTTTGAACAGTAAATTCTAAGTTTTGAAGAGTAAATTCTAAGTTTTGAAGTGTAAATTCTAAGTTTTGAGGAATAAATTCTAAGTTATGATGATTAAATTCTAAGTTTTGAAGAGTAAATTCTAAGTTTTGACATGTAAATTCTAAGTTTTGAAGAGTAAAATCTATATTTTGAAAAGTAAATTCTAAGTTTTGAAGAGAAAATTCTAAGCTTGAAGAGTAAATTATAAGTTTTGAAGAGTAAATCTAAGTTTTGAAGAGCAAATTCTAAGTTTTGAAGAGTAAATTCGATATTTTGAAGAGTAAATTCTAAGTTTTGAAATGTAAATTGGATATTTTGAAGAGTAAGTTCTAAGTTTTGAAGAGTAAATTCTATATTTTGAAGAGTAAATTCTAAGTTTGGAAGAGAAAATTCTAACTTTGAAGAGTTAATTCTAAGTTTTGAAGAGTAAATTCTAAGTTTTGAAGAGTAAATTCTAAGTTTTGAATAGTAAATTCTAAGTTATGAAGATTAAATTCTAAGTTTTGAAGAGTAAATTCTAAGTTTTGACAAGTAAATTCTAAGTTTTGAAGAGTAAAATCTATATTTTGAAGAGTAAATTCAAGGTTTGACGAGAAAATTCTAAGTTTGAAGATCAAATTCTAAGTTTTGAAGAGTAAATTCTAAGTTTTGAAGAGCAAATTCTAAGTTTTGAAGAGTAAATTCGATATTTTGAAGAGTAAATTCTAAGTTTTGAAGATTAAATTCTAAGTTTCGAAGAGTGAATTCTAAGTTTTGAAGAGTATAATTCTTTAATGCCTCCACATTTGAAGATACGAATATTTACAATTATAAATAATTAATTAAAATTAGTTTAAAAAAGACAAACAACACACAAACTAGTAAATAGTTTCTGAATCCAAATAAATGTCAATGTAACTGGATATTGTTATTATCTTTGAAATAGACTCAGCAACTATAATATAAAATTTTTGTACTTGGTTATTATTATATCCCTCCATGAATTGCATGTTTCCAAAGATCGTCTGCATGAAATTGTCCTCATTTAACGAATTAATGTTTGCTACGAATTCCACTGGAAAGAAATCTGTGATACGTTCCCATAATTTTGTTCTTGCTAATTGTGTTTCGCAACAATGCAACATAGCATGTTTTACAGGATTTGTGTAGTAGTTACCACAAGACATACAATGAAATTGTGTTTTTTCTCCAGCAAATCGCACACCATTCACATAGAATGACCCACAAAGAACTTTAACAATAATTGCCACTTGGTTGGCCATCTCGCTGCTTTCGAGAGCAAACTGCAGCCACATGTTACGCAATGGTTCTTTTACGACTTGGCTGTATAATCCTAATTGTTTATAACGTTGCGTTTTGATCTTCCAAAACTCAATCTCCGCATGATTAATATTCTCAATTACTGTTTTCTTCCATTCAGATTTGCTGGGAAAATTTCCAGACTGCAGAAAATTGTCCATATACTCCCACAAGCAATACTTCTGTAAGATTCTAACTAAATCTGGTACAAAACCAGTGATTTTGTTCGGATTCCATCTCCATCTATTAAGTCGTATCATGAATACCCTGCGATGTACACAGTCCTCACTTGCACATATTAGTCGTCTGAGAAAGCTTTCGTTTGTCTATTTCTGCTCCGACCGTCCAGAGACCAAGAAGTCCACGTGCAGCTGAACCCGAGGTACCACTAAGTAAACCCAGACATACTCTTAAAAATATATTCTGTACCTTTTCCAATTTTGATAGTTTTTCTCGATTAAGTGTCCACAACTCAGCACCGTACAACATTTTCGGCAGAGCAATCCGTGCTCACAGCTTAGTCGCCACCAATGGATTCATCCCGTTAAATCTACATCCCAGATTTGCTAAACAAATGCCGATAGCCTGACCTTTCTTCGCAGCCTCTAGTATTGGAATAAGGCTGGAAACGTCGGTGTGCCAATCTTTTCCAAGATTATGCCAGATACTTTTCTCCATGATTTCTTTACCTCCCATAAGCCACCTTCTGTTCGTAACTGCCGATATGTTATCTCGTTTTTCGCCAAAGGTCAGCACAACAGTTTTTTTCTCATTAAAAGTAAGTCTCCATTTTAGGCTATAGTTATGAACTTGTACAAGCATGTTATCAAGACCTCGTTTTAATCTTGACATAAGCGTAAGATCGTCAGCAAACATTGGTGATCCAACAAACAAATTTTGAATAACTATACCAGTGGATAGCTTTTCCAGCTCGCTTATCATGTCATCAATGAAGAGAAGAAATAGCCATGGCGATAATACCCCACCTTGTCGAACCCCCTGTAAGATATTATACTGTCTGGAACGTTTACCATTAAAAAAGACATATTCCTCCATGTCTGAGTACTAACCTTTTATTAGCCTCCAGCACTTTCCTCTAATATTTACGTTGTGATATAATTTAAACAACATA